ATGCTGGGCCGAGGTAGGTTCTCTATTTACACGGTCCTCATGGTATTGCTGCTCGTGCTGGCTAACCGGGACAGGGCATCAGCCTCAGCGTTCTCGGACCTTGGAATCTGCTTGATGAAGTACGATTGGAAGCTGCGTAGAACTTCCCTGACCTTGGCTATATAAGCAGCCATGGTGGGGTTGCGAGCTTCGTAATCACCGGTGACCTGGTTGACCACAAGTTGGGAGTCGTTGCAGATGACGATGTGTTTCGCTTGTACCTTGTTCGCTAGTGTGAGCCCGGCTAGTAGTGCTTCATACTCTGCTTCGTAATTAGATGCCGCGAACTCGAACCGAAGTGCGTACTCTAGTTTCACCAAGCTTGGCCCGTGCAGAATAGCGTCGGCTCCGCTTCCTTGTTGATTGGATGAACCGTCTACATGGAGGATCCAAGGCTCCTCGTCCCAAGTTGGCCTTGCTCTAACTGTTAGATAGTTTTGTATGCCCTTAGCTCCAATCAGATTTGATGTACTTTTGACAATTAGTGTAAATAAATAAAGTACATGTTTGATTCATGTTGTGTGGTATATTTCTGTGTAAGACCTTTAAACTGGACACTTAATGAGACTTGTGTTAGTTTTGAACATTCATAGTCATTGGATAAGTCTAGGGAGATTTATCCTGGCAAGGCTGACACTGGTGTGTTGCCAAGTGTTGGGGTGGCTTGTCTCAGCCGCCAGGATGAGACCCAAGGCACATGCAGTGTGGGATTACTTGAATCCTTGAACCAGACCAGATTTCCAATATTGCCCTGGACCTTGGAGATTGATGGGCAAAACTGGAAAGTTACACCTGACCCCTAGACTCGATTATTATACTGCACTAGGTGTTGGATTGGGTTGTCTTTGATATGCCAATCAGTGAGATCCTTAGCGGGGGTCAAAACCTGGGTATGTTGGGACAGTTTGGGAATTCATCTGAGTGGGTGATCATAGTGACAGGATCAACCCCTTTGTCGGACAAAGGTAATGATCGGGGATGCACTCTCTCTGATGGGAACCAAACTGCCGACAGTTGATTTCAATCATTGGAATTTTGTTTTGCAAATTTTATATATATGATATATATACTTATACGGTTTCAAAATGTTTGCAAATGGTTTTAATTCCCGGGATCCGTGTGAGTAAAGAGTGCAACACTGTTCCTTGTAGCCGAGGGAAAGGTCTTCTCTTATCAGGCAATGTTTGATCATTATGGGTTGAGAGGTTAAGTGTAAGGCCATTTAGGGTTACACCTGATGGGCTAATCTTGCATCTGCCCATAGTCCCTGGGTTTTTATAAGATGGCTTGACCCAGGGACCATTTCTTATAAGTGTTGGGCCCATAAAGTCCATGTGATGGGCTCAAGGGGTTCACTGGGCTTTCTAGTGAATTCGGCTAGGCCTTGTAATAAAGGTTGGGCTGAACCCATGTGGCTGATGTGTAGATCAATGCTTGACTCCCACGCCATACAAAGAAGCCAAACTGGGCAGCAGCTTGGAAACTTATTGAGCACTGATTACATATTGGGCCTAAAGCCCAGTTCGACCTGGGCTGATATGATCACCCACTTAAGGGGGCATATCTGGGATTAGGGTTAGCTAAAGGATTAGGGTTCTAACCCTATCCACTCTTGGAGACCAAATTCAAATGTGATTTGAATATGGTAACCTCTTGATAAGATCAGGAGTGGATTGACCTAATCTGCAGATAGGATTAAGATTATCCCCTATCCAAATGCTAATTAGGACTAGGATAACTCCTAATAGGATTAGGAGGTTTCTTAATCACTAAGAAAAGAGGAAACCCTAATCTTGAATTACAAGAATTCGACCTAGGGTTTTGCAGTCACAACTTCTGCAATCTGAGATAGGATCTCATCTTCCTAAGCTGA